ATTTCCAACATGTAATACCAGTACTGTGATGGCAGAAGGGACTGTGTGGGGACAAGCAGGTGTATTTTTGTGTCATTCATCATGCTGTACTGTGTAATCCATCGCAAATACCAAAGGTAAAGGCACGTACCTGTTTAGGAAAACCTGCCCAAACTTCCCTTAGATTATAAACCCAGGGTTTCTAAATCCAAGGAAAACAGTAAAGCAGAGAGTGTGATGTGAATATCAGAGAAACAAATCAACCAAGCTGGCTGTTCACTCATGCCTTGTAAGGACAGTCCCAGTACTTACATCATAGAGAGCTAGGATTCCACCAAAAAATGCAAAAAGATAAAATGCACATCTCCAACTGTTGACAGGCAAAAGCAATAACGTCACATATTTGCATAGACATTAATCTTTTCGCATCAGTGCATCTTCAGTTCACACAGACATACGCTCACCTGGCTTCACTGAACCTCTTTCGAAGCCCCGGTCGCTCCTGGTTCCTTCTCCTCCTGAACCACACCTGAACTCTTCTTTCTGGCCAGCCAGTCTTCTTACACAGAGACCACACGTCAGCCTGACACACAACAGGAGACATTCCAGTGTTTATAACCTTTCCACATTTGGACGCACCCTCTCCAAGGTTACACAAGCAGTAAGCTTTAGTCTTTGATTATTAACACACATTAACAGGGCAATTCCACTAAAATTTGTGGCAACCAAACATGTTTAAAGGGATGTGATGCACACGTAAAAAGACTTTATGATGTTCTATTAAAATGCATTTCACCTGTAGCTTATTTGAACAGAAATCTGGATTTGTTTTTCTTTTGTACTTTCAATCATTTACTATTTTTTTTTTGTCATATTTGTCACCCTTACATGTTTCAGATCATCAAACAAATGGTAATATTAGACAAAGATAACCTGAGGAAATAGTAAATGCAGCAGTTAAATAACACTTTTAAGTATTCAAGGAAATAACCAATCCAATACCATCAACCCTTTCCTGACATTTCAGGAAAGGGTTATAAAGGCTTTGGGACTCCTTGAACCACAATAAAGGCACTTATCCACAAATAGAGAAAAACCTGGAACAATGGTGAACCTTTCCAGGACTGTCCAACCTATCAAAATCACCCCAAGGAGGCTCGTCCAGGAGGTCGCAAAAGCGCAGCCCTCATTTGCCTCAGTTAAGGTTAATGATGAGGAGTTAATGATTCAACCATAGAAAGAGACTGGTCAAACATGACATCTATGTGAGAGTTTCAAGGAGAAAACCACTGCTGACCAAAAAAGAACACAAAGGCTCGGCTCATATTTGGGGAAAATATTCTGTGGACTGGTTTAAGTCCTGTTACATGTGACATAAAACTAACACAGCATTTCAGAAAAAGGGCATCATATCCCAGAACTGCTCTCCTGCTTCAAGACCTGGATGACTGAAGCTCAAGCGCGCTCAGATAGGAAGACACATATCTGAAACCTAACAGAAAATTTACATGTTAATGGCTCAAAAAAAAAAGTTTAAAAAAAAAAGGTTTTAGATTAGCGTAATCAAAGTCCAGCCTTAAATCCAATTGAAATACTCTGTCATGACCTTAAATAAGCCGTTCATTCTGAGTCCATTGTAATGTGAAAGATTAAGTTTCAGTTATTCTAAAGACTTGATTATAGTTCTTGATAACAAGGGTGGCACAACCAGTTGTGGGGTTTATGGGTCATTGCTTTGTCACATAGGTCCAGACAGCTTTTTTCCCCTTAATAATAAAAATAATAAAAATTCAAAAACTGCATTTTGTATTTACTCTGATTATCCTTGTCTAATAATAAAGGTTGTTTGACGACCTGAAAAATATAAGTGTAACAAATATGCCTGAAAAAAGAGATCAGGGTGGGGGCTTCACATCACTGTATTATCCATGTGTTCGCAGTATAACTCACTTGAGAAGGAACCCGTGTTTGGCTGCAGAAGTATTTTTCTAGTATAGGGTTTTGTTCTGCTGGGAGACGTATCTTGTCCCTGATTCCCCAAAAATTAGCCAGTGGTGTGGCAAAGTACCTGAAACAGCACCAAAAGCCGGTCACTTCCTTCTAAACACAAAAAAGTCCTGGGATTCTAAAACCAGATGACTGCGTTACTAATCTCATTGACACACAGGCATATTTACTTACATACTTTGCGGTCTTACCTTTCAAACAGGTATCTGACTACAAGCAGGCAAAGGGCACAGGGTAGAGAGGCATAAAGATGAGACACTTTCGCATAGACACGACCTTCCTTGTCCTCTAAAGCAGACCAGGACAAATTTCCTGGCAGCCACAAACGGTCCCACCAGATCCACTCCCCAACTGTCTGCAACATGATGCTGGAAAACACACAAAAATTACATATAACTACCACTGTCACTCAAGTAAATTCAGTATATAAGATAAAATTTCTTAAAAATCTTGTTTCCAAATTCAAATGAGTAAAATTGGCATGACTTTCCTTACTTTCTGATTAATAATGTATCTTTTTTTTTCTTTTCTTTTCTTGTTACATTTCCCTCTTTTCTTTTTGTTATCATGAAGATCTCCTGCCAAAGTAGTGTGACGCCACTGAATGAGCCACGTACATATTCTTGAAACTTAACAGCGGTCACTAGATGGCATCAAGATCTGGCTGCTGCTATGATCCAAGCACATTCACCGCCAAGAAATCTACCATATGGTGCCAACTTTTCATCACAGCAGCAATTTTTGATTCGACTTTCCTCTATCTTCAACTCGCCTTGGATAACATCAATACTCAATGTACTGGCAGTCATGAATGAAGTGAGCAATATACAGAAGAAGAACTACGTAGATATCAAAGGGCAAGAAAGATAAAGATGGGTGAGGAGCAATTCAAAAGGGAGATTAAGGAGAAACAAAGTCCTTCTTCTCGTGGACCTCGATCATAACTGTAGATAAAAGTGTGTTTTTTGAGCAGTGAGAAAAGTACTTAAGTACTTAAAGCGAGCTGGATTGTAACTGGTTTAAATGATCAGTTAAAATATTTGCTCTAAATTTACTCGCTACGATAGACTGAGTCATATCAGTGTGTCCCTGAGCCTCAAAGGTAGTTAATAAGTCAACATAAGAACAGTCAAATGTGCCCGCAAGCGGTGTTGTCTTGACAAGTTCTAACAATAGAAAGAGAAGCTGAGGCAGACAAAGCGAGTGAGTGTACGCGACAAAGAATGATGAAACTAGAGAAACAGTTAAATATGGTGTAAACTTCAATAATTCCAGCCTTCCGCTTGATTGAAGTTATTACATCCTTTAGTTTAGGTAACAAAATACATGGAAACGAAGTATGGAAATGTCTACCCAAACACACACTCACCTTCAGTGTCCCAGTGTGAGTAGTGTCTGGTGTTTTCCTCTGCCAGTCTGTTACTCATACAACTCAGTGGTACTGCTCTTATCCACACCAGGTAACAGCACTGTCCTGTGATCCTAGACGATCCCTCTTCCTGCTATTGTAAACCCATTCTTCATAGTTATAGAAAGCAAATATCAGCTCAGTCTGCTGCCTCACTTCATCTGTACAATGTGTCTCATTGTGTGGCACTAGACTCCAGTGAGCATGTTTCTAGGCATGCGTATGGTCGCTCACCTGAATGGGATCCTTCCCTCCCACTTTGTCTGCTCTTGTGATCACACCCTTGTAGTTGCTGCAAGTCTTTTGAGATTAGCACAGCTGAGCACTGCAAACACCTTGGAGCATATTTGCATGTTGACTTGTAAGCTGCAAGAGTCAGGGAGTTGGAGTATTTGCGTACCCTCACCTGCAAAAGAATTCTCTTGGAATGCCAGGAAAACCCCCACAAAGGTCCCATTCACTGGCGGGGCAGGGGAGGAGGAGCCAGGGCAGAAAAGGAACTGACACACAAAGAGAGTGAAACATCACTCTGTATACATAGCTAACTGGGTTGATAACAAACTTATTAATACAAATGAGATGACCTTGGACTTAGTTTTGGAAAGCATTTCCTTTTTCAGTTTTCTGTGCGGAAATAAAAGTAATAATTTCAAGGAACTTATTAAAGCAGTCTAGTGATTATTTTGGTGATTTCCCACTGACAATGTCAAGCTTCAGATGTTGAAAAAATAAAAGTGAAAATAAAGCAACTCATTACTAAAGCATCCTCAACAAAATGCAGAACAGTAGATAGTTTTGTTTCAACATACACCAGAAGGTGGCGATAGAGACAACATAATACATGGACCTGCTTGTCAATATACTGTACACGAGTGACGTGTTATAAATGTAGTGTTGGGTCTGCTGAACACTTTTGTTCAGTTTGCTTTCTCAGAGAAGAACAAGCTGCTTTTTTACTCGTCATAGCAGGTAACTGAGTATTTCAATGGGTATATTTTGATTTTGATCTGTTTATTTATTTTGCCCTTCCTGACACAACATCGAAGAGATTTGTGTCTCCTCCCAGGAATAAAATCTTGTTAGGTCAACATGTAAACCACTATATGATTTATACAAAACTGTGCCAAAAGTCTTAAACACCCCTCACTTATTTACATTTTGCTTCCAAGGAGCCAGATTCCCTCATATTTCTTTAAAGAGGTCTTGAGCAATAGTTCTCCAGGTTTTCTTAAGTTTACTCTACAATAATAATAAAAAACAAAAACATTTTGGCATGGTGTGCACAGTAAAAACACACCGCGAGGCACTATCAGTCATAGATTGGCCTCCCCAGAGCATTGAAGCAGTGTGGGATTCTCTTACCAGAGAATGAAACACAAAGGACGCAAACATACAAAGGAGAGCTTTGGATGTCCTTCAGTTAGCCCGGAAAACTATTCCTTGCCTTATAGAGCACAGGCTACGTTAAAGGCAGCCATATCAAATACTGACTTTAAAATCAGCTGCGATCAGTATAATATTTAAGTGTTTCCTGTCAATAATCAAAGCCCTTGTCCAAGGAAAAACAGCCTTGAGGCTACACAACTTCACAATGAAAAAAAAAAAGAAAAAACATGGGTGTCTTTTATTATAAGTTCATGTGTTTATATATCAAAACTTCTAAAGATAAACATAAATCTAAAAGCACACGTGCTGATTCTAGCTGCAATGAATACAATTTCATCTTCAGCTGGCCTACAAGGCAGCACTGCTGCATGTGTTGGACTGGAAGTAACAGAGGAGCATTGGCTACTGAGATGTGAGTGTAGGCAAAAAAGAACAGCCCAAAAAATATACACAGAAATAAAACAGAATACGGTCCAGTGGGTTTTTTTCACAGGTCATAGCAAGGAGACTTTCAGAGCAGTCTTTCTCTGAATTGCCCAGCACCCCCATTGTTAGGTTTAGCCCTAAACCACTGAGCAGTATAATGAGGAGTAACATGATAAAAAGGAGTTTCCATTGATGTTTCCTTTCACACCACAGGTATATGCAGTGGGGACTGAAGGGTGTGCCTCCAGGCACAGACAGGAGAAGGTTATCTGAATAGTCCTCTCCCTCCCTCCTCCACCCTCCTTCTCTTCCACTTCGCCTTGCAGCTCTCCTCATACTGGTCTGTTGCGCTTCAGTTCACTGGGGGAAGGCGGGATACGGTCTTCCAGCTTTGTAAAGCTGGTGGAATGGCTAGGCTTTTTAGAGTCCTCCTCAGGACCCTGTGCTCTTTGTCTTGGAGGCAGGGTTAAGCACCGGGCTTTGGCCCTGGAGCGTGGCTGTTGGGGTGGAGGGCCTTTCAGCACAAACAGTTCAGTTGAGGCTTTGTGCTGTTGGGCAAGTAGAGGCTGTGTAGATGATGCGGATGCCTGTGTGTGTGTGGGAGATAATGGGCTGGGAGAAGCTGATGATGAAGGGTCCAGGGAAACCAGGGGAATAAGTGTGGACTTCTGCTGGAACCTGGTGAGGCTGGTGGAGTGGCTGGGCCTTGGCAGGCTGTAGCAAGCCTCAGCCCCTCTGTGGCGAGAAGGCAGGGTGGAGCATCGGGCCTTGGCCTTTGAGCCTGGCTCTCTGGGAGGAGGTGCAATTAATGAGAAGCTCTTAGTTTCATCATCTGTTGTTGTAATCCCTTCCGTGGAGATCTTCAGACTCTGGGATGATCCTCTTTTACACGATGAATGTGACAGAGGTTCAGCACCTTTCTGGCATTCTTGATTGGAGCCTGAGCGGGGAAGCTCCATATCTTTAACTGTGCCCGATGAGGGTTCTTCATCTATATAACAAAAAACAAAAAAATGAATC